CATGTTCGCCAAAACACGCAAGAGGACTGTAAAAATCAGGCCTGGCTCTCTCAGAGGGGGCAAGCTGATCTTGCTGAAAGGTGGTCTTTACCCTCCCACCCTCCTCTTGCCGCTCCCTGTGTGCCGGCTTGGCTCCTGACACACTCCCCAGGGAGCCAATTCAACCCGCTCACCTCGCGGAAGGGAAACTACCTCAGCAGGGAAGAGAGACAGCTCTCGGTCATGCCGACGAGGTGAGCTGGCTCAAGAAAGCATCTTCTGAGACGGAGCAGAACCAGAAGGGAGAGGACAAGGCTGGAGATGGGAAACATCCCCACTCTGGCAGCCCTCAGAGAAGCTGCTGACTGTGAAGTTTGTTAGCCTGCTGTGAAAACACAGCTTCAGAGAAGCTGCCAGGGAAGGTCCGCATTCTGTATTTGCACCTTATTACCTAACTGCAAGGAGCAGGAAGAACTGGGGGCTGTCACCGCCACACACAGTAATGACAGCTCTGCATTATGGCTGATGGCTGCTTTTGGCACTTACACATCATGTCCCCAACAGTGCTACACTGTATTGGAAATGAATGCTGTATAATTTGCAACATATTTTAAGCTTAGGGCTAAAAATCAATTAAATTTCCGAGAATGAGCTAAACAAAGGCAGAAGCGACTGGCCTCCAGAGATCCCTGCTGTTCAGATACCTGTTCACAGGCAGGCTACAAATCATCATTCAGCACCACTCCCAGAAGTGCCAAAGTCATCACACCAACCTACTAAACAAAAAAAAGACATCTAAGAACAGACTCTAAACTTTTGGGCAAGCATTAAAATCCCCCTGAAAGGAGCAGGGACGAGCCCCCTTCTGAAAAGGCTGCCGAGAGAGGTGCGAGTCAAACCATTTCCTCTCTCACCAGGGTTAAACCCCCGCAAGGTCTCCTCGGAGCATTTTAGGGACACAGCCCTGGGTAGCAGCATCCTCTGTTCCCTTACAGGGAACGTAGCTTGGAGGAGATCCTAATGAGCAGCCAAGGCCATGGATTAACGGCAAGGACACTCACAGTCTGTGTTTCTTTTCGGAGTCCTTTTCTTCTCTTTTTCACGTTCCTGCAACTAAGAACCTGACAACTCTGCTTTGCCAGAATAAAAACTTGTTTGGTGGCACCTGAAGACTGTTTCGGGTTTGTACATCACTTTGGCTAAACCACTCCTACACAGCACAGCGAACTGAACAAAATTGATAATTAAAAAAAAAAAAACAACAAGTGGGCACTTGGGGCAGCGGGGGAGGCAGTGTGTGCACGGGCAGGGTCGAGGCCACAGACCAAAGCGTGAGCACAAGCTAATATCACAAATACCAGCTCAAGCAAGAGCTGAGGTCTTGTGGGCAGACCCTCCCACTGCTCCCATGGCAGAGAAAACTGCAGCATGGCAACTTACAACTCCCAGTGGGTGTCAGTTTCTTACCCATCACACTAACAGCAGCTCTGACAACTGACAAGCCCTTAGATGCAGGCACAGATACCCACACTCTTATCTTATAAGAAAAAATAATCCCCCCCAACAGGTTTTGCCATCACAACCAATCCAAGTAAAATTTTAGCTTGCCTTTTAATAATGTTTTCATAACTAACTCCTAGTAAACGAAGCAGATTTGCCTACCAGAGAGCTGATGAACAGAAATCAAAGTTTTAAGAGTCTGCAATTAAGAGACCAGAATTTGAGAAATCTCATTCAAAATTAAACACATCTATCCAAGGCAAATAGACAGCTCTCCAATGCTAGCAAGTGAAGTATTTTCTAGGCAGAAGCTAGGTCTCTTCATTCTCGCCCCAAAGCCGTAAGTCCATTTTTAAATACCACAGTATTATACGAAGAGCATTAGTGTACCCTGTGCCTGCCACCTCCGCTGGTGAACCAGCAGCTCTCCCCGGCAGAGGAGGACCACCAAGCGCCCTGGTGACAGACCCAGCTCAGACAGAGTTGTCCTACAAGCATTCGTTCCCCAGACCCTGCATGTAGCTCCATTTTCTTCTCCAAAGTGAATTTTCTTCTCTCCGTGAAGCAGCGACCACCATTCCCAAGCTAAGAGCAAAAGTGAGACGCTGCATAGAGCAATGGCCGAGGAAACACTCAAGATGCTTCTGGGAAATTCTAACATTGTAGTTTGCCTCTGCTCTCCCCAAGTTCCCGAGCAGTTTCGAAGCAATGTAAAATTCTAAATTGCACACAGCTCATGAAATCATCGAGTCACTCTGAGAAGCTGTCTGAACTGCAGAAGCTTCTAACACTTCTAACATAGGAGTTTTCAACCCATTTACTTATGGCATTACGCAAAGGGCCCTGTAAAGAAGGAAAAGAAGAAAACCTAGCTGCAGGAGGCTGTAGTTCACCACGCAGGGTTCACAGCTCCATCAGAAAGCATTTAGGGGTGCTGCAAATCAAAAAGGACAGAGGCACAGATAGTAGAATTAATTCCTTGCAGGACCCCAGAGAAGAAAAGGGTCTGAACAGACGAAACTTCCGTTAAACTCTGCACTGGGAAAGTGATGCCCTTGCAAGAAGCGTTTCTTTTTTTCCAAACAGAAACAACAGGTGAACACCCAACTCCCACGGTTTATATATCGAACATGACATTCTACAGTATGGAATATCCCTTTGGCTAGTTCGGGTCAGCTGTCTTGGCCATGCTCCCTCACAGCTTCTTGTTTGCGCACCTGCTTGCTGGCAGAGGATGGGAAACTGAAAAATCCTTGACTTCAGATAAGCACTACTGAGCAACAACTGAAAACACCAGTGTGTTATCAACATTATTCTCACACGAAATCCAAAACGCAGCACTGTACCAACTACCAAGAAGAAAATTAACTCTGTACCAGCTGAAAGCAGGACAATATCCGCCTCTTATTCTACACCATTTACATCATGCCCAGATCCCACACTGCCCAATACATTTCTAATTAACCACCACACCACTTTTCCTGCCTTTTAGTGTATAATACACAGAGATAGCATTCCCGCAGCCTATGGGCCATCTCTATCAAACGTCTTTCAAGTTCATTCAGTCCATGACTTTGGGCTTCAGCTGTCCCAAGTCTGTTCGGGCAGGAGGGATGGCGCACAATCCGCTCAGTCAGCAGAACAGGATCGGGCTGTGGTGCCCCACTGGTCCAAGTCTGATGTGTTTCATGTCTTTTCCCTCCGTGAAACTTTTTCAGGACCCTTCCCACACAAGAGGAAACCCAGTCAAGTCTCTGCTCAGTCCCTAACATTCCCTGCTCAGCATAGCTGCAGTCTGCGTTCAGGAACTCTCTCCACACGCAGCCCAGCAGCATGCAGGGCTCCTGTGTGGCAGGAACGGCACTAGCTCCTGCCCTTCTGCTAAGACACCATTGCCTTTGCACGGCAAAGGCCGCAAAGGCCCCAAAGGCAGAAGGCCAAGCAAGAAAGGCAATTGGGAATCTGACTTCGCCGAGATGTCGCTACAAAACCAACAGGCTATCCCTGCCCAAAGCAGCAGTGAGGCCAAAAAAGGGACATATTGCACAGTAACGGAAACAGCGTTCAGGATTAAACCCCACCGACCTCCTTAGCTTCTGCTGTTGCCGCTGTAGCTCTCATTTAGGCTGTGCTATCTGCACAAAGCACACAATGTTCCAGTGCAGAGCAGAGCATTGTGTCCAGCTTGACCTGGGTTGCAACAAGACAGTGATGGCTCCCAACACCTGCCGATACTTTCTTACGGACCTATAGCATCGCACGTACTTGGATATTGAATAAAAGGCTGAAGAATCGGGAGGGGTGGGTGCAGAACCAGCCCCAGCTCTCAGACAGACAGATGCACAATGCACTGGCAGTCAGTCCCAGCTTTAGCAATTACCCTACTGCTTACCCAGCCGCATGACAAAACAGACCCGAGAGCCAACGCCAAGGAAAACAACCCCCACCACAAGCCAAAATGCCTGCCCAGTTTAGGGGACCGATTGTTCTGAAAAGCAAAACAGAACAACAACAAAAGCCCCGCTTCCGCAGAGCGATTTCTGGGCTGGATCAGCCGCCAGGCCTGGCCTATGCCGTAGATTTATAAGCAGCAGTTGAAGCACAACAACGAAGGCGGTGTCAGGGTGGGAACGAGTGGCCGTTGATGGGGACAACCCAAGCAGGATGGCTGCTGAACAGCAACACTGCAGCCCCAGGCACTGCTATGAAACTCCTAAGCAGGTTACTAGAGGAACTTTTTACTAAATTTCTACTCCAGACCTAGGTAAAGCTTCTACCCATTGTCCAAACAGATAAATAAACAGACAGATCCAGACAGCTAGGGTAATCACAAGGCACTTCTTGTTAACGAGCTCGGGGTGTGACCCAGGGCGAAGGAGGCTGGCCTGCCCGAAGTACCGGGGATCTGCACGTTAATATCTCGAGACAAATTTGAGCATGAGCCCACCTGGTCGGACATCCCTGACTCCCAGGAGCTCAAGCTTGGGTGAATCTTCCTCAGCATCTCCGGGGGCTTCTCTACCCAACGCGCAGCTCTGGTTCCCGATGCCAACCCAGCCACACTGCCCGGCCAAAGCCCCCGCTTGTGCAACTGAAGAGAAACAGCGTCAAAAAAAACCCAAACCAAAACCCAACCCCAAACCAATAATCTAGCAGCTTCACAGGTCTGAACAAGATTCCTCTTTGCAGATGCTTCACCAGGGTTTGCGCGCACGGGTTTGGTTTTACTTTTTCTCCATAGTTTATGCATGGGGTGGGGGGGGACACCAACATGGGGCCTTCCTCACAACCGTTCCTCCTCCTCCTCCTCCAGGCAGGAGAGGGGAAGAAAACCGCGTTGGGCCTGTGTTACGTATCTAGACTGTATAGATCCTACAGATCCACAGGCCGTTATTTCTGAGGGCCGGGACCCCCCGGAGCCGCCGGTCCCAGCAGGACATCCCCCAGGCTGCGAACACCCGGAGAGGTACCGGGCCTCTCCCGCTGTAAACGCCGTTTCCCGGTGCTCAAGAGACCCTTACGTGTGTCCGGGGGGGGGCCGAACTGCCGCCGGGGCCTTCCTCCTCCTCCTCCTCCTCCTCCGCCGAGCTGCTGTCGGTGCCCGAGTCCTCCAGCCCCGAGTAGACGCTCTCCTCGCTCTCCGTCAGCTCCTCGCTCTCCCCGGCAGGACAGGGCTGGAAAGGAACGGGGCGGCGGAGAGAACGGGGAGGGTGTCAGGCCGGTGGCGGCCCCGGTTGTGTCCCGTCCCGCGTGTGTGTGTCGTGTCCCCCCCCGCCTCCCCAGGACCGGGACCGGTCCCCGCGTCCCCTTCAACGGGGGGAAAAAAAAAAATAAAAAAATTTAAAAAAACCCCAAAAGCAGCGTAACCATGGCAACCACCCCCCCGCGCGCGCCCCGACCTCCTCCATGGCTCCGTCCCGCGTGCGCCGCCGCCACGCACCGCGCCTGCGCGCCCGGGTCAAAGGTCGCGGCGCCGCTTCGCTTTTCCCCGGCGGGAGGAGAGGCGCATGCGCAGAAACGGGCACCGAGAGGAGGGGGAGGGAGGCGGGAGGGGAGGAGTGCGCATGCGCCCAGCGACAGGCCGGCTGCGTCAGGGGTGGTGCGCATGCGCGTAGGCGAGGCTGACGGGCGGAACGGGCGCACCGGCGGCACGGCGCATGCGCACAGAAGTGCGTCTCCCTCCCCCTCCCCTCCGAGGGGCGGGGCGGCGGGGGGGGGTGTTGCGCGCTCTCCCGGAGGAGGTGCATGCGCAT